TAATATTTATTATTTAATAAATAAAAATTAATTTTTTTTTTTTTTGGAAAGAAAGGCCAAAGGGGATATAATGAACATGAGGGTTTTGGAACATAATTATTGCCATTAATTTATTTATTAAGATTACTAAAATTGTATTAAAAAATATTAATTCTATTTAATTCAATTATTAAAAATAATTAATAATTAATAAAATAATTAATATTTATTATTTAATAAATAAAAATTAATTTATATATTAATATTTTTAAACATCTTAACTATCTATTTAAAAAAACTAAAAATTATCTTTCAATTGAGTACAATTGTGGTGACCACAACCACACCAGGGTTTTTGTGGTTTGAGCCTTTGAGGATAAAGAGACTGATACATAAAAATCAATAGACCCACTGCGTTTCTGCTCTGTGAATCTTTCTAGGGTTTCTGAACTCTTCCGTTCTTTGATTCCTCCTATAGTCCCCAAGAATTTTCTAGGGTGGTTGCTGTTTGGTTTAAAAGAAAATTTGGGCTTTTTCTAGTGATTTTCTTTCTGGGTTTTCCTTGTTTCTCCACTTTCCTTTGCACCTTGAAAGATGAAACATTTATATGGGCTGCTGTTATTGATCTCTTCAAAATTTGTTTGCTTCGCAGTTTGAACAAAAGCTGAAACCTGTTTGCTTTCCTAGAAAATTTAGGCTATTAAAACCTCGTTTTTCTCCTTCCCTTGAGCTTCCTAAAACCTCCTCTGTGTTGCCATTATTTATCTCTTCAAGATTTATAATTTTTTTTTGTAAAGATTGAAACTTTAGTATTAGCTACACACTGCGTTGGTACTCAATATATATCTGGGGACTTTGCTCAATTTTGGTGAGTATTTTTGTAATTTTTTCTGAAAAAAAAAAAAAGGAAAAATCTGATTCTTGTGTAAGGTTACTGATTAACGTGGCTCCGATGATGAAGTAGAAGATGAAGAGAGGAAAAGTTGTGATGAAAAGGATTGAGAACGCAGCAAGCAGACTAGTGTCCTTCTCCAAGCGTCGAAGCGGGCTGCTTAAGAAAGCTTTTGAGCTATCTGTTCTCTGTGATGTTGAAGTTGCAGTTATCATCTTCTCACAAAAAGGAACACTTTATGAGTTCTCAAGTTCCGAGTATGTTCATTTTTCTTTCTTTTCCTTATTTTTAATTATACTATCAAAGCTGCTCAATTAATTATTTCTTTTTACTATATATTTTAATCATATAACAGATTTTGTAAGTTTGGTTTTTGTTCCTCTTTTCTGCTTTTAGTCAATCGTATTTAACCCTTTTGTGTTTTTAAAATCCTTTTTGTACTACAAGGTTTCTTCCATAAGTTCCATTGGGAAATCTTACTATTTGCTTTGATTTTTTTTTTTTCCTACTTGTCTTTGAGTTTATTTCTTTGGATGAAATATCAAGAATGGCTCTCATGCTGTGCTTTGCTGCTGGAACAAATCCATTGAGGTGCATTTTGCCTTTCTCAAACATGTCTATTAGGGTTTGCAAAAGCTTTGCTGCTAGGAACTAGAAACTGTTATTCTTGTTTTCAGCCTGCCTCCATTTCAATTTACATATTAATTAGTAGAAATTAAATCTCACATTAGTTTTGTCCATTTCTTTGTATATGGTGTATGATATCACATGCGATTTAAAAACTGTATAAAACCCTCCAATTTTCACCATAAAAGTTTGAGACTGCATAAAGTGCTTATGAAATCTTTAATTTCTTGTAGTATATATCCCATAGAAGTGAGTATATGAAATTCCTTGGTGCTTGGCTAATTAAAATAAATGTTGCCTATGTGTGTTTGAAGGAATCTGTGAATGTATGCTTTTATGAGGCATCTAGAAATCTACTTTAATGATTTTCTTAGTTGCATGTTATTAGGCTTATTAGATTTTCATTGTTTATGCTCATCGCTAAGTGTATACATTTCAAGTGATTGGTAAATATTTTTTTTTCTTTTATGTTATATATTTATATAACCTTTATTTTGGGTATTTAACTTTATATACATGATCAAATTATGTGTTCAAGCCAACTGTGAGTGGCATAGGAATTATATAATCTCTTAATAAATAATATCATAAGTTTGGTGTCGACACATAATATAGGTGTCGACACCGAACGGAAGGGCTTTTTGACTAACTCTTTGCCTTTCAAACTGAGATGTTTATGGGTTTGAGGTACTTTTATACTCCGTTTCAATAAATATTATTTTTGTTTTTTAAAAAAAAAATATATATATCATAAGTTGGAAGGAGAAAATTTAACTTAAAAAAAGTAAAAATCTAATGCATTAGATATTTTGACTCTCTCTAAAGTATATATCATTACTTGAGGAGCTTCTGTTAATTGGGTAATAAATTAGAGTAAAATATATATTACCCACGTGTGTTTAGAACAATTAGTTAAAAGGAATAGCTAGATACATTTGTAGGGGAAAACAAACTAATCATCTTCCAATACACTCCAACTATATAAACTCTTGAGTATGATAGAGACTTGATCAAAAGCCCTTACATAAATTTTTTGCCTCCCATAATTACATGTTTTGCATCCTACTTGCGAGCATTTTACGTAGAAAGTGGTCTTAAGAGGCAGCTGTATGTATGTAGAAGAAAATTAATGAAATCTATTACTTGGTTCAAAATAAAACTAAGGGATGCACTTCTACTTTTCATGATTAGTTCCATAACCTGCGGGATTAATTGTGCCAGAGCAGTGAATGAAAGGAAGCTGTCAAGAAAGAAGACAAGTACAAGATCAAGTAACATGATTTAGCTTGGATTTATATGTTTTGTGATTTATTTGTTTTGCATGGTGGGAGAATTCTAATGTATGCTCTCAGTGGGTCAGAATACCCTTCGTACTTCTATTTTAATATAAATTTCATATTTTTTGGTAATTAAAACATAAAAAGTTCTTGGACAAGTTTACTTGTCCTTGAAAACTAGTGAATCTAAATATTATTTCTTCTCTTTTTGAGTGTTTCTTTGATAATCAACTTTCTTAAGCAGGCACTTATTTTTTATTGTATCTAAGCTCTTTATATATATATATATATATATATCTATAGAATGATGAAATATGTATAATACAAGATAGTTTTCCCTGTCTATCTCAAGAATTAAGTTTTAGACTTTCAATTTGAAATATCAAACTCTTAATTAATTATTGAGACATCTTCTAGGATGTGCTTAATTAATTATTGAGACATCTTCTAGGATGTGCTTAAGGTTCTCTAATGCTGTGGATTATAAAATATTCATGTTGAATTTTGACAACCAACTTCTAGCTGCAATAGGTATACACTCACTTTTTGTTTATTTTTGATCCATTTTTTGCCTAAACTAAATTTTAAAATTATCCCATCCACCCTAAATTGATTCTTCACCAAATCCTTTTGTCACCGTCTATGACCAATTGATTTATTATCATCCCATAAAGTTTATTGAACATAATACTATTCCTGCTCTTCTATCTCCCTATCTATTGTAAGGGTAGGCATTTCTTGTACTCCTTATAATATAATTTTGATTCATTGAAAAATTTTGATTTGTTATTGGCGGTGACAAGACTAACTTTTCTCTAAAGTATTATCCTTAGTTTTTAACATCTTCAATCTCCTCATATTTGAAAATACCATGTTTAAATTTTTTCCTTGTGCTAGTTACATAATACTCTATTTTGACTTATCTTTTGAGGAATGGACTACATTTTATTTCTCATAGCAATTAATTGTCTCCTAAAAGTAAAAAATTTGATAAATTAATGTATATTTTTAGTTAGATTAATTAACACAGAAAAACAAATGTTAAAACTGGGATTTAAATTAAAATATTTTCCCCGTTTAGGAATGTAAATTTGATTTTCATGTCTTGATATTACATGCATTTAAAAATATATTATTCAGCTAAAATGTAATTATCACCATTTTGAAGTCCATGTATTTATTTTATATAGGTTGAGAATACATATATGTATATTATTAAGTATTTAAATTTTACATTCCCAAACAAATATATATATAATATTAAGTATTCAAAATTTTCATGGATCTACCCCCTGTACTCCAAAATAAAATTCTTTGACTTTTCAAAAAAAAACAAAAAGAAATTTTCATGGATCTAAGATTTATGAGATCCACAATATATTTTTCTTCGCACTAATCTACTCTTTTCTTATACAAAGCCAAATAAATGTACTCCAAATTGAAGATTTAAATTTGAATGCACACTCAAATTTGTAATTTTCAAACCAATCATAATTTAAATTGTAGATTTAATAGGATGCTAGGCGATGTTAAAGCTGCATGTCAAATTTTTCAATGGCACAGCAATGCCCTATAAATATGTCAAAGCCTCCTTTGTGAAACAAGTTAAAAGAAAAGAAAAGAAAAGCTAATTTTCCTTTACGATATTCAAAATTGTTTTTTTGATATATTGTTTTATTAATAAACAAAGTAATTACAATGCAAACTATATAGAAATGACATGTATAGATAAGAGCTTTTCATATTCATATTATGAATGGGAACATAATCTTGTAGATTGTGCAGCAACTATCTCATAAACCAGGGAGTAAATTTGCTTGTGTTAAATATATATTTTGAGGATTGAGGTTGATGTATTGATACTTCTTGATGTAATTGGTTTGAGGTACCCCTTGTATCTCACTAATAAATTATTTTTTGCTGATCAAAAAAAGAAAAAAAATATAGAAATGACATGTAAGATAATTAGGCACTAAGAAATTTTAAGTATCAACATACATCATAACAATATTAATAAAGTTATGTAAAAATAGTTTTACATAGAGAGATTATTTTAGAGTTTTTTATTCATTGATGGTAATCACATATGTTTTACCATCTAATCCTAGCATAAGAGATTAGAAGACATGGCAATGTAGTGTCTCACATAACAATGCTTTATCAAAACTCAAGTGAACTTCTTCTTTTTTTTCTTTTTTTTGAACAGAAAATATTGATATTTATTAATAAATAGAGTACAAGAGGTACCCCAAACCCTTAAACATCAATAGTTAAGAGACATAAATGTACAAGAGTGGGCTAACCCTGCCCAATAGTGTCGACACCCACATAAAGTGTCGACACTATACCCATGTCGAATTTATGTCTTCCTTTACAGTTTTTACATAACTCCCTGTTCTGATCATAAAAAAACTTCCACTTTTCAAATCCACTGACACGCAAAAACGTTGAGCATGTATTTACTACAGCTTAACTAACACGCTACAGTAAAATACCTGCTTAAGCCTTCATGCCCCAAACAAATTTCAACTTGCATTCCATTCTGCAGTGTAGCCTTTTTTCTGTTGTTTAAGAAACAATTTCATTGCTTGTTTGTGGCTTCTCATTGACAGAGCACATGCTACAGGGTTAACCTTCCACTCATTAAATGAAAAGGCACAACCATTTACCTTATTCTTGATCCATAAAAATGATTTGGCTTGAATCATATCTAGTAATCTTCCCCTGATGACAGCTTCATTATCAAATACCTTACCATTTCTCCAATACCATAAATACCATGATACAACGAGAAAGATACAAGCACCCATCTCCTTCCCTACTACCCTACCCAAATTGTATACAAAAATGTCTGCCACTCCTCGTACGATATTTGGCATTACCGTCTTCATGTTCCACCACTGCAACACCTCTGTCCACAAAATCCATGCTTCCTTACACATACTAAATAAATGGTTAGCCTCCTCAATCATGTTATGGCACAAAACACACATTAATTCCTCTTCCTGTAAAAGCACCCCTCGCTTTCTGATGTTCCATTTAGTTGGAAGCTTATCAAGACATAAACGCCATCCAAAGAAAGACACTTTGGATGGTACTAATCTGCACCAAATAACTTTACACAACTGTTCCTCTAAGATACCCTCCGAAGGGGCCAAATAAGCCTTCTTCACCATATAACTACCATCTGAATCATGTAGCCACCTCCAATGATCTTCAACACCCTTCTTTAATTGCAAATTACCCAACTTCTCCCACAACGCCTCTTCCTCATCCTTTTCTCGTCCTATTCTCCCCCTCCTCCATTCCAGTTTCCAACTCCATTTATCCCCTTCCCATACCCCCATTTCACAAATATTACCCTCCTTATTCATAGACAGTGCGTACAGCCTTGGGTATAGATCCCTTAAATTTTCCCCCCTATCCACCACTCTCTCCAAAAGCCCACCCGATTTCCTTCACCCACTTCCCATCTAAACCCCTCTACCAACATACTCTGTAGTCTCATCGACCGCCCCCCTATATTAATAATATCTCTCCAAAGCTTAGATACTCTCCAATTCCCAATAGCCTTAATATCCACCTCCTTCCATTTGCCCTCGTAATATTTTCTGTTAGTACCCTTTTCCATAGGCTCTCTACCACATCCCCAAATCTATGCCACCATTTCCCCAGTAGTGCCCAATTTTTCCTACGCAAATCCTGCACCCCCAAGCCCCCTTTCACCCTACTGCGACATACATGTTCCCATTTCACCCATGAAATCTTCTTTTTTAACTCCTCCCCTCCCCATAAAAAAGTTCTTTGAATGCGAATTAACTCAGTTACCACAGAATTTGGCATTAAAAATAATGACATATAAAAAATGGGTAGAGCAGAAAATACCGAGTTAAACAAAGTAAGGTGGCCACCGAAGGACAGCGAAGTAGCTTTCCAGACAACAAGTTTAGCACGAAATTTTTTTATCACCGGTTCCCATAGTTTCCTATTCCTTGGTTTTCCATCAATAGGCATTCCCAGATAAATAAAAGGTGATTTTCCGACTCCACATCGCAACATGCTTGCTGGTCCTTCAAGCCATCTCGTTGGAACATTATATCCATAAATGTTGCTCTTGCTGAAATTAATTTGTAGACCAGACATCAGTTCAAACCATCGCAAAATTGTTTTAACCATGATTATATTCTCTATGTCAGCCTTTCCCATAATGACTGTGTCATCCGCGAATTGAAGTAGAGAAATTGCTAACCCCTTCCTGCCAATCTCTATACCTCGAAACATACCCTCCGACACTGCTTTCTAAACCAATCCATTTAATCCTTCTCCAATCATCAAGAATAAGAATGGGGATAAAGGGTCCACTTATCGTAATCCCTTTCCAACCTTGAACTCCTCCGTCGGGCTTCCATTAACTAGAACTGAAATCTTAGAAGTCGACAAGCATTCCATAATCCAACCTCTCCATTTGATTCCAAAACCCAAGCGATCCATCATCCATTCCAAAAATGACCAATCCACACAATCATATGCCTTCGCAAAATCAGCCTTGAAAACAAAAGCTGACTGCTTTCTTCTCTTAACTTCCTCCACAACCTCATTCAACACTAGTATTCCATCAACTAATTGACGTCTTCTCAAGAAAGCAGATTGAGTTTCACTGATAATCCCCGGCATCACGGCTTTAATTCTATTGGCCAACACTTTTGTTAACAGTTTGTAAACACACCCGATCAAGCTAATGGGTCTATAATCCTTTAATTCCATAAAATTAAACTTCTTAGGAATTAGAGCTAAGAAAGATGAATTCAGCCCACTAACTAATCTACCATTCTTGTGAAACTCTGCAAAGAAACTCATAAAATCTTCCTTTAAACTATCCCAAGAAAATTTAAGAAAATTAAAATTGTACTCGTCCGGTCCCGGAGCTTTAGATCCTTCACAGCTTCGTAACCCTTCCTCAATTTCTTCAATGGAGAATGGTCGTTCAAGCCATTGTTTTTCCTCTGTAGAAATCTGTTTGAAGCTAACCCCGTAAGGCTTTGGTCTATTCCATGTGTCTCCTTGAAATAACTTGCTGAAATAATTATACACCTCCTTCTTGACCTGTTCTGGTCCTTCCACCCAACAACCATCACTCAATAAGCCTGTGATATGATTTTGGGCCTTTCTACCATTTGCTACTCTATGAAAGAATCGCATGTTTGCATCTCCCACACGAACCCAGTTGCTTCTTGATTTCTGTTTCCATATCACTTTTCTCCTCCTCATGATATCCCACATTTTCTGAAAACCTTCCTGTCTTTGAATAATCTCGAATTCATCCAGATCAATCTCCTCATTCTTCATATCAATTTGCTCTACCTGTTTTGCAGCTTGTTCATACTGAGCTTCCATATTTCCAAACACCTCCTTATTCCAACCCTTTAAAAATGCTTTTAGCCCTTTTAACTTATGTTTACATTTATATCCTGCGAATCCCTCAACTTCCATTTTGCTCCACTTTTCTTCAATTACCTTCTTGAAATCTGGATGAAGCTGTCATGCATCCAGAACTCTAAATGGCTTTGGTCCCCAATCAGTTGTTCTTGAATTCAATACAATTGCACAATGATCAAAGATATTACGTTTCAAGCCCTATTGCACCCAATTTCCACCCATACTGCACATCTCTGCATTCATAAAAAATCTATCAAGTCTGCTCATGGCTGTACCATCTGGTCTATACCATGTAAAGTGCCTATTGACCATTTTAATATCAACTAAACTTGCTGCCAAGATAAATTCATCAAATTTCTTCATATCTGTGCTCTCTCCAGTTCTTCCCCTTCTTTCTTCAAGACATCTAACGGCATTAAAGTCTCCCGCTATCAACCATCTCCCTCCCTCTTCTATGATCATGTGCTCTAACTCATCCCACAGCTTTAACCTTTTCTGTCTATCATTTGGGCCATACACATTCACTAGATTACATTTCACCTTATCTAGTCCCCACTCCCCTGTTATTCTCAGATAACCACCACCCGTAAAATCTTTTGTCTTAGCAAAATTCTTCTTATTCCAGATACATAACAAGCCACCCGAAGCTCCTATCGATTCCTTCATCACCCAGTCAATCTCATTTGAATTCCACATAATTCTGCATAAATCATCATCCCCTGTTTCTAGCTTAGTCTCTTGCAAAAATAGGAAATCCGATTGTTCTATTCTCACTAGTTTACCCACTTCCTTTCTCTTCAATACACTACCTAAGCCTCTAACATTAAAGGACACCAACTTCATTAATAAAAAAAATCCCACACCCCCGTTCGTTACTACCTGACCCTTTACCCCACTTCCCCTGTCACTCCCCTGCAGCCTCCCTCATCTCCAATTCCAGCAATCGGGACTGCACTTCCTCCTCATTATTTTGAATTTGAATGCCCAATCTCTTACCCATGCTCATCATTGTCCTCACCTCATGCAAGGCCATCTCTCTATGAATCAACCTATTTCTATTTGCTATACACCCATCAGAAAGGGAATCACTAACAACCGGATTTACCTTGCTCACTGTACTCGTTTGAGTTCTTGCTCTTTGTTGCCGTCGCTGCTTTGTTTTTGAAATTTCCCCATGTGTCTCTTTTGCCCGGATTTCCACAAAGCTTTCTGGGTAGCAGTCTGCTATTTGTCTTCTCCGCATCTTCCTAGAATCCCTAATTGCAAGCTCTCGGTGAATGGCTGTCTCTCTTTCAAAAACCTCCTTGGGCCCTTTCTTTTTACTTATCTTTATCTCTTCTTTTCTAAAGTCCCCTCTAAGCCCACTCTTGCTCCTTAGTCCAATTTCCGTACCCTCCAGCAGCCCATTTGTCTTGTACAGCCCACTCACACCATCTTCTATGTCCGCGTCCGCGTCCCCTTCTTCTGCATGCCAGCTCACCTTTCCTTCCTCTGAACTTTTAAAATTTGAATTCAGAAGACTGTCATGCATTGAATGCTCCTCATCCATGCTCACGTCATCTTCTGCACAAATCTCTGCATTACCGAAATCTTGATCTTCCTCGTTTTGCTCGGATGAATACTCCGATTCCGTTGCCGACTCACTTTACCGGTCATCATCTGAGAGCCACCAATCTGGGTCGGAGCGCCATTCTTCCTCAATCACCTGTATTTCATACATCTGGTCTTTAACCTTCAGTGAGACTTGTTTAATGATCTTATGCTCTGCAGAACATATAACTAATATTCTCCCCTCACACAAGATTGACTTCGTCTTTGTGTCGCCATGAATCATCATGACCTCGCCCATTGATTCTCTGATCATTTTAAAGCATCTGTCAGTCCATGCCTTCAATGGAATCCCAGATATGCGAAGCCATACTAATTTGCTTCATTCTTGAACTTCCTTGTCCCATGGTTTAATGTCTACAAACCACAAATCAAACAACTCTTTGTTGAGATTCATAAACTCAATCAAATACCATAGTTCTTTTTCTGTTAACAACACTCTTCTTCCGCCTATTGGTGATACAGTAATCAACCCACCATCCACATCAATTCTCTATTGAATATCGTTTATTAATGGTAGGGATTTCAGAATGGCCACCATACCCCTTTCAAGCCACTTGAGCTCATCTTGTGTTGGTGTGAATTCCATACATTCCTTCTGAAACTCCGCGTCCCTATCCTTCTCCATACTTCTTTTGGCCTTTTGTATTTGACAGGATGCCACTTCCTCCTTCTCGTTTTCTTGCCTCGTCTGGATTGTTCCTTTCTTCAGATGACTTGAAACCTTGTCCTCTCCTCCCAGTGTTTTTACAGAAGCCGATAAGCTTTGTGTCCTCTGTTCCTTCCCCTTTACCACCTGAGCGTATGACTGTCCTGGTTTTACCAATCTGGCAACTCTGTGCTATGTTCTACCCCTTGTAACTGTGCCTTTTACTCTCTCTTTACTTCTATCCTCTGTTGTCTTTACTCTCAACTTGTATGAGTCTATCCAAAATTCATTTAGCCTCCTAACCATTTGACTTTTATTCTGTACTCCTAGTAGACGCAGAAAGCCAAACCTCTTACCCCACTTGTCACGCTTCTTTGGCACAAAAACATCTATCACTTTTCCATACATCTGAAACTTGTACCATAATTCTTTCACCTCCAAGTTTTTTGGGAAATTATAAATGAAGAAAATCATAGCTTGCCTCAAAATCTTGTGATCCAATCCTGGAATCCAACGCCTGTGCCCTTGCCGTTGTCTGGTGCCGCTAGCTTCCCCTGTCGTCGCTCCTCTCGCTCTAAACCTCATTCTCTCCATCGTCTATTACTTTTAAAATGAACTTAAAACTCAAGTGAACTTCTAATTTGTAGATGGATGAAGACATCTATTTGCATTGCCATCACAGCACCTAAGTCATCAAGCCTCATCTTAGGTGCCCTTTCATCTTCAAAGGTAACCAAAGCCAACTTCCAAGGTGATTTTTGTAATATTCCGTCCAAATCATTGTTTTTTGTAATTTGGAATAGAAAATTTCCTCACCCAGTTTCCTGTTATACACGTTAGTTTTAGTTTTCCATGAGGAAGCAATTGCTCTCTATAAACCTATAAAATTAACTCTTTTGTGAGTATGAACCTTCCTAATCAAGTACAGTGATTCAGCTAAGGTAATTGAATTATTCTGAGTTCTTTCAAGGGAAAACTCAATTTTTTTATCCTCAAACAGCCAGATCTAGCCAAGGAGAGAGACAAGATCTGCAACTTCCACACACCACAGGATGCTGCCTCTTGTGGTTGGACATCTTTTGCGGTCTGACGGCCCTGTAGATTGCTTTCATGATGGAGCAAGGTTGGAGCAACATGGTAAGGTAAAGCAAGGACTGTATAGTGCGCCTGTGAACCTTGTGCACCATGTAGGTTGCTACCAATGGGGAAAAGGAGAAGAAAGAAGGGGCTCCTAACTGGAGGAGAGAAAACACTAGAGAGAGAGCCTAATCTAACCCTAGATAGGAGGCAGATAATGTTTGCTACATTCAAATTAAATCCCTGTAATACATTATTCTTGTGTTTTAGGTATGTAGTCTAAGTTATAACTTGTTTGAGGTGACCATTCTGTGAACTTGGATCCATCTTCATTCTTGCCATTCAGCTTTTAGGCTTTGATGGTGGGTTAAGTACGTAAAGTTGTGATTCTGTTCATCACTAACTAGGGATGGTCTGAAACTCATGTAGTTTTGAGTGCTTGCGCACTTGTTAATTAATGAAATTGGTCACCATCTGCTGAGAGGATATATCTGCTTTCCTTTTCAGTTTTATTCAATCATTCCTAGGAAACTGGTAACATGGATTGATGGCTTCTTCTTTTTTTATTCCTGTGAAATTCTTCAGCATGCAAAAGACCGTCGAACGATACTGTATGTATACAAAAGGAATTCCAACTCACAAGGTTGAAATGGAACAACACATGCAGGTTAGACCCCCATCTTTCATTATACAGATTAATTTTCCATAAACTTTTTATTGATAAAAGGGCAGTTCAAAATATATTTATTTTTCATAGAAAATAGAAACAATTATAGTTAAGAAAGCAAATTTTAAGGTTTGATGTTTGAGTGGGGGTTCCTTACACAATCTGAATTATATGAAAAGGAGCAGCTTGAACATTTAGATGTAAGCATGGATAATATTATATATAATATAATTCTATTTGGAAAGGAAAGATACGTACTCAATTTGCAGTTGATTAGGATGACAATTAACTTGGTAGCCAATCTGCTTCTTTTACTGTTGATATCATGGTTTTGGACTCTAAATCCATGATTTGGGAAGTGAAGAGTTTCTAAACTCAGACACGTGCTTGTTCTAGTCTCCTATATAAACAAGTTGCCAAGGGGCCAGTTCAAAACATGGTTGTAATACCTCATCAATTTCAGCAAATCATTCCAAGTATTAATCAAATCCATCCAATCTTTTGTTTTATAACTAGGTTTTATTGCTTGATTCTTGGATACTTATGATTGGATTTCTCTACTTATAATCTACATTACATCTTCATTGCTCTCATCAAACAGCCCGGTTCATGAGTTGAAATAAACTACTGGCCTATGGCTCCTAATGATACTTACGGTTTCCTCTATAAATTTTCATAACGCAGCACATGAGGATTGAAACCGAAAACATGGTTAAGAAGATTGAGTTCCTTGAAGTTTCTACAAGGTTCAATGATTTAATGCTTGTGTGAAGTTACTTCATCTCATTCAGGTGAAAGGATTTCTAAGGTTTCAAATTTTTTATATCATACAAGAAGTTGTTGGGTCAAGGATTGGGCTCATGTTCTGCTGAGGAACTTCAAGAGATTGATAGCCAGCTAGAACACAGCTTGAAGAACATCAGGGCAAGAAAGGTTTGCAACCTTTTGATTTGCATATTTAGACTAAAAGTAGTTACGTTAAAGAATTAATCATGACTACAAGGCTTTTAATTTTGAAGGACATTAGGTTTTGAGTTACTTTCAAATGAGCTTAATTCTTGACATATTTTTAGATATTTGCACCGTCATTGGACTTATTAGACATACAATGGCCACATTTCCTCAGACTCGTCTCCTCCTTAGGTTATACTCCTAGATAGAACTGCAACCTTGATTACTTTAAGTTTAACCATTTAAGTGTTTCAAGATCTCCTCCTTGATGTGGGATCAGATCTAATGTACCCTATAATAGATTCTTTATTGTGCCATCTACATACATGCAAAGGACTTTGGCTTGACGTTCCTCCTATCATTGATCTAAATTTCTCCAGTCAACTACATTCTTCATTGTGCCATGCATCTACTTACATACAATTCCAAGACAATACTTGAAAATTGTGTTTGCCTGCATGAAAATACTTACACTTAACATGTTATGTCTCATCTTATAGGCCCAGTTATATAAGGAGCAGATACAAGAACTAAAAGCAAAAGTAAGAATAACCCCCTCTATTGAATTAAACATATATTACTTCCTCAATCTTCTAACTCTAAGCTTCTCAGCAATGTCACTCTTGTTTTTGTCTCAATAATACATTTTTTGCCTTAATTTAGGAGAGAAAATTGTTAAAAGAAAATGCAAAGTTATGTAAGAAGGTGAGCCTTTCATTTCCAAATCTTTGAGTTTTTTTTTTTTTTTTGAACTTATAAAAACAACCCATAGTTTTGCAATCCAAATTGACACTAGACTGCAAAAACTAGGTTGTTGGTTGATGGGGCCACCCTACAATCAAAACCCCCTTATTCAGTGACTCATATTTTACAATCTAATATAATTGATACTTCAAAACACAATGTTTAAAAAAAAAAAAACTTAACCAACTCTCTTTTGGTTTGGATGTTAGTGTGATGGTAGGAAGTCATGGCAACAACCCCCAACCCAACAAAGGAAACCATTAAATAATCACACTCAAAATAATGAGTCCTTGGAGGTTGAGACAAAATTGTTCATTAGATTGCCACAAAGCCATTAATATCAATAATATCTGGTGCATCCACAAAGATGAGAGAGAGAGTGAGAAGGGACCGAGGTGGACACCGGTCGAGGGATAGATAGACGGCACTGAACTGGGAGCATGGTGGACTCCGTCGAAGTAGCTACCAAAGGAACAGGGAACCGGTTGATTGGGGGAAATCAAAGGATGATCAATACCAAGGTCGAAAAATGTTGAGAGGTGGGCCTTACAATTGGGGCTTATACAAACAAGCAACATCATTCTTCTTTACCAACGTCCCAAATGATTGGAGCTATGAAGAAATGTGGAGCACGTTTATGAAGTTCGGTCGTGTTTATGACATCTATTCTCCAAATAGAAGAAGCAAGAATGGGAGTAGATTTGGCTTTGTGAGATTTCTAGGGGTGATAGACAAGAAGGAACTGAAAAGGAAGTTAGACCAGATTTGGGTAAGAGATTGAAAATTGTGGGTGAATATGCCAAGGTATGATTCTGAGAAGAAAGAAGGTGGGGTGAAAAGAAAAAGTAGCGGAATGATGGCTGTAGCTCAAAATAGAAGTTATGTTGAGGTGGTAAAAGGAACACAAGAGAAGGAGATGGTAGGGGATCAGAGCATACAGAGCATGGTCATCCGAAGCAGAAATAGATGTAATGACAAAGAAATTAAGAAGCATGCAGGGCAAGACAAGCATAGGAGATACAGAGATAGTAGTAGACACGATCACCAGCAAACCGCTAATAGGAAAATGTGGAAAGAAAGAGGAAAGGGAGAAACCTGGGCAGGTATGGAGTTCAACATCAAACCGGAAGAGTATGCTTGGCTCGAAGGCAGCTATGTTGGAATAGTGCATTATATGGAGATGGTACGCAATCTACAAGAAAAATTCTATATGGAGGGGTACTTTCTTGTCAAATTCGAGCAATGGGAGGCAAAATGGTTCTGTTAACTGGTCAAGACAAGGAGGAAGTGAAGGACTTAGTTGAAATGGCATCAGATTGGCTAAGGTAATGGTTTGAAGAGGTGAAACCGTGGTCACCACAGATGACAGCAAAAGAGAGATTTGTGTGGATAAGGTGTCAAGGATCACCAATGAATGTCTGGGGAAGTGAATTCTTTTCAACCATGGGTAGCTCATGGGGAAATTTTATTTTCTTGGATGACAGTACAAGCAAGAAGGAAAGGTTTGACACTGCTAGATTTTTTATTTCTACTTCAGTAATGGAGACAATCAAAGTTTCAAGGGAAATCAAAATCAATGAAAGTGTATTCAAGCTAAAATTTACAGAGGAGGAATTCACCAATTGTTTCTTCTCTTTGAAACATGATTTCATGCCTTCCTTTAATAGCGACTCTGAAGATAATGAAACATGGTCTACCGGAACAAAGTCGGAGATGCAGGATGAGGAAGATGAAAAGAGGAAGGAGGAGGTTCAAGCCGGGTGTTCAATTGAAGAAGATGATGACGTAATAGGACGTAGGAGAGATGAAGAAAGAAGAAATGTAGTACAAACCAACAAGAAAGTAAGGGATTCAGCAGAAATCATTGGTGACAACCTGGAGAAAATTCAAAATTCAAATGCAATTGAAAGAAGTAGGTGGACAAACGGCGTGGCTACAGGACAGATGGTGCAAGCCTCATTTTCGAAAATTGGAGATACAAAAGTAGAAGAAAATAATCACAAAATGAAGCCTAGTAATCAACCGGTGATAAGGCCCACCTTGCAAGAAGAAAGCCAAAGGGTAATGGAGTCCACAAATGTGGAAGTGGCCCAAAAAGAAACACTGAAGGAGATCTCAATTACATCCCAAAATAGAGACATTTCTAGAACCGGAGAATCTGCAGAAGAGAAGGGCGATGAAGAAGAAGATGCATTCTGGAAGGGTCATGAATCAGAGAGAAGCCGAATAGAAGAATGGATCGGCAATCAGTTGGAGGAGATCAACCCAAAAAACGGTAGAAGGAAGGTCAGAAGGTGTAGCTCAGTGTATATCCAACCCAGAAATAGTGAGGCAACGGTGGGAAAAAAAAAGAGGAAGAAAGAAGAAGAACATGCAGCAGATGGAGTAGAGAACAATTCCAATCTTCTTGCCGAACCAGGATGGAAAGGTTGCTAGAGATTTAGTAGGGGACAGTGAGATACATAATTGCAACAGGGCATTGAAGAAACAATGGCAAAACCAACTTGCAAAGGAGATATGGGACTTGGCGACGCAGCTTGGAGCGGTGGCGGAGAATGACAATGAGGTGATTCAACGAATTGAGGAGATGCAGGCTAGATACCGAAGCGCAAAAAGGATTATGGTAAACCAAGAGGTTGAAGTCGGTGGGAAGGTATGTGATGCACACAATGATAATTATGTCATTTAATGTTAGGGGTCTTAGAGAGGTAGGGAAGAAAACACAGATTAGGGAGTTAGTTATCAAAGAAAAAATTCAATTTTTAGCAGTACAAGAAACCGAGATGGATACAGTGGATAGGAAGATCTGTAGAAGTTTATGAGGGTCCGAGGATATGGATTGGGTAGCAAAGTCTTCTGATGGAATGTCTAGAGGTTTAATATGTATCAGGGACACTAAATTATTGAAGAAGAAGGAGACTATAGAGGGTGACAATTTTATAGGGGTGTTTGGCCTGTGGGGATTGGAGGAGATTCCGGTATACATTATAAACATTTATTCTCCGTGTCAAATTACAAAAAAAAAAAAAGAGCCTTATGGGAGGAGCTACAAGGCCTAATTAATAATAGAAGGGGGATGTGGTGCTTAGCAGGGGATTTTAACACTGTAAGGAGGGTTGAGGAAAGAGCATGATGTAAGGTGGTGTCCAATGAAATGAGGGAGTTTGATGCTTTCATCCACAACATTGATTTGCTTGACTTGCCATTGATAGGGAGAAAATACACTTGGTATAATTCAAATGGGCATCAAATAAGCAAGATTGATAGATTTCTGTTTTCTGAAGAATGGATGTCAAAGTGGAGTGAAATGAAATAGTGGGGATTGAAGAGGTCTGTATCAGATCACTACCTTATAGTGATAAAAAATGAGCAGGTCGACTGGGGTCCAAAACCGTTCAGATTTTTTGATGCTTGGTTGGAACAACCGGGATGCAAGGAGGTGATTACAAGTGCATGGTGTGACAACGAAGTGGAGGGTTAGAATGGATTTAAAATTAAAGAAAAGATGAAAAGAACAAAGAAGGCACTAAAGGAGTGGAGTGGCAAAACCAACAAGGAGATGGATGAAAGAATAAAGAAAGCAGAGCTAGTGATTGCTACAGTTGATGAGAAAGGAAAGCAGCACCAATTGTCA